CCTGGTTGTGTCGTTTACAAAAAAAATTTTGTCCGGTAACTACACCAAGGGAGGTGCACAGAGTGTCGCACTCTTCTAATTCAACCATAGTACTGTGTTTTAAAGGTTCCTAGCTATAAGCAATCAGACAGAGAGGGTTAGTTCCGGGTATCCAAAATGGGGGCAGATGAGAATCAAACCTTGTCTTCGCTGATGATATGATATATGTATATTCCTGGAAACCCAATGAATTCCATCCAAGAGACTCTAGATTTTAATATAATATCATTTGGGTAATTTGCGGTAAAGTTTCAGGTTTGAGGTGAAGGCAGGTGGGACACAATCAGAAGCATTTCATATATCAAATGAACCATCAAGCAAACTCAAACAAAAATTGCAAATCTTTACCTATTAGCCAGGAAAAAATATTCTAGAAGTACACTTTTAGAAGTAATGATGATATGCAAATCAGATTTATACATGAGGATAGAACTACGAACACTAAAAAGAGATTGCAGAATGATTAATCCTGAACAATGGAAAAAATCTTACCTTTCATGGATTGGTAGATCATATCTGTTAAATAATGTCAATATTACGTAAAGTTATTCTACAGAATTAATCAATCCCATCAATATCACCCGAGCAGTGGGGGGTCTTAGCAAATTTGGCATTGTAGTAGGATCTAGAAAAAATAATTCTGCACTTCTGCCTACATGGAATAGAACCAGATAAAAACTCGTTATAGCCAAAGCATCTTAAGTATGAAATCGGAAAGTGGAGGCATCAGTCGTTGTCGCTGACTTCAGACTATATAACGATATAAATCGAATAGAGGTACATCTAAATCAGCCTGGTACTGGTGCACAAAGACGTTACATTGATAATCTTGGAATAGATCTGAGATAAAAAGCCAAGAGATGAAACCAAGTAACAGTATAACGGTCAAACGGTAAAGTAGGTAAATATGCAATAAGAGCAGACTAAAAATAACAATGGGGTAAATAAATCCTCTTCATAAATGGTGCTGTGAAATAACTGTTACGCTTACAATGCAGAAGATTGAAAACAGGATTCCCTTACCTCTCACCCTCTCTCAGAAAATATACTCAAGATTGGATGAACAGACTTAACCGAAGGCATGAAATTTAAGAATCTCTAGAGAAGACGTTGGGAAAACCCTATCAGACATTGGTCCTATGGCAAAGAATTTTTGAGGAGACCCCAAGGCATCACCACTGATCAAAAATAAACAAATGGGTTCATCAAATTTAAAAGTTTCTGCACAGCTAAGGAAACCATCATTAGAAATAGACAACCCACAGAGTGGGAGAAAATAATTTGCTCTTACAACTTCTGAATAAAGCTCTAATACAAGAATCTAATCTAGAACTTAAAGAAAAACAAGAAATCAAACAACCCCATCCAAGAATGGCACGTAATGAACCAGAACTTCTCCAAAGAGACAGAATAAGGCTGCAAACCATATAAAACAAATGCTCAACATCTCTAATTCATCAGAGAAATGCAAATCAAAACCACAATTAGATAACCATCTAACACAGTGAGATGGCTTGTATCAACGAAAATTCCAACAACAAATGCTGGCGAGGAGTGGACGAACAGGAAACTCTTAACACTGCTGGTGGGAGACTGCAAATTACTGCAACATCTGTGAAAAGATTTGGAGATACCTCAAACAGCTAGATATAGAAATACCATTCGACCCAACAATAGCATTGTTGGGCATCTACCCAAAAGAGCATAAGACTTTCTACTATAAAGACATCTGCACCTGATGTTTATGCAGCACATTCACTATGCAAGATCATGGAAACAACCCAAGTGTCCGTCAATTCATGGTGGATAATTAAAATTTGGTATATGTTCACAATGAATACTACTCAATTCTAAGAAAGACAGTGAGCTGGCACTGTTTATGCTATCCTGGATTAAGCTTAAACCTGTTATCCAAAGTGAGGCAACACAAGATCAAGAAAATGGGCTCTACATCTACTCACCATCAAATTGGTACTGATTAAAACTACGGTGCTCAAATGGTGGTAGTGCTCACCAGGGTTTGGGGGAGGGGGAGATACACATCTTAGGGTTGTGGTGAGCATTGGGGGAGGGGAGAAGGGAATACCTCTAACCCTAAGGGTTAAGGCAAAGATATACAATGTAACCCAAAGGTCAAAAAAAAGGAAAAATAAAACTTTTACCAGGTAGTGGGCAGATGGGAGGGGGGAGGAGGGGAAGGATATATACTTACAAAATAGGTGCCATGTGCACCACCTGGGAGTAGGACACACTTGATGTTTTGGCAAGGCGGGGGGCGGGGGGAGGAATGGCATGGGCAATATATGTAACCCTAAAAATATTTGTACTCCCATAATATGATAAAATAAAAGGAAAAAAAAAAGAAAATCATTAGTTCTAGTCTTATTGACTACTTATTGACAATATTCATTCTTTCTCCACAGTTTCTTAAATATTACTGATGTCATTTTGACAATTCTATGAAAATAGTAATGATAAAATCAATAGGTACCATGTATTTATTATCAGCTAGGTACTATGTTAAAGTACTTTACACTGAATTACTACCACCCTAGCCCTGTGAGGTATATACTGTTATCCCAACTTTACAAGCAAAGAAACTGAAATTCAGAGCTGTTAAGTAACTTGCCAGGAGAGCACAGTAGACCCTACATCTATCTGACTCCAAAGCCTGTTTTCTCAATCAATATATTATATTACTTTCCCATAGGATATGAAAAAAAAAAAAGTCTAGTGTCAAATCACTCCAATATATCCAGGATGAACATATATTTTCAATTATGTTTTCCTTAAGCAACACAGATAACAAGGTCCTCTTGAGACAGTAAAGCCTTTGTCTTTGGTGTTAAGGAAAAAAAAAGTCAATCTAATTTATTTTCTCCAGGCCAGGAACATCAATTTTTACTAAGAAGATGAAAATTTACTCTTGGCTACTGTAGCCACCGGCATAGTGTTTGTGCACAAATATACCAAGATGTTTTTGTTTGCCTTCAGATTCCTGCCATGGGTTGAGCAATAATTGAACACGGCATCACATCTGCTTTGTTCTGCATGAAGAGTTTTAGCACTGGTGGCACTAAACCTCATGCTATTTATTCTGCTGGACATCCAATCCAAGTCAGTTATTTCAATTCATTCCTAATATCTGTTATTTGCAAGACACTGTGCTATATGCTAATGGAGAAGAAGTTGCCTCATGAAGTGTTAAGAGTGAGAGTTCAGACACATGCCGGGCAGGGAGGGAAAGGAGATCACAAACTTTACAAACCTGAGCGGGTAGCATTCCCTCATTCTTTTAATGAGCAGGGCACCAAGTCAGGGGCTAGATGTCTCCATTCCATTAGATGCTTTCTTGAGCTACTGACCCCTCTAAACTAGAAGAGGAATGAATGTGGGGCTGTGGATGGAGGAGTAGTAATAAAATGCGAAAAGGGTCTTTTGCCAATTTTTATTCAGTTTCCCCAGCTCTAAGCTTTTGTTTCTAGCTCTGCTCCCAAGGCAACAAACCACGTTGCAAGTTACTTACATTAGCAAACAAACCACATAATCTATAAACTAATGAAAACATATTGCAATGCTTTCCCAGTGGTGTTCTTTAATAACTTTCATTTTGGAGACTGAAAAGGAAAGTCATGCACTCGTCGTGGCCTTCAGGAGTGCTGAAGGCCACAGTAGACAAAGGTTGCAGATTTTGCATCTGAGGGAGACAGACTCACCTCAACAGTAACCTTGAGCCCAAACGTCTGCATAGAGAATTCCTGTAGGAGCAGACGCCTAGTATTTCCTCATCTGAAGGGGAGAGAAAAGTTGTGATATATTCAGGCCACAGGAGAATGAAGAGAACCAAACAGGCTCAGTCGGGGAGGCTGGCACTCTTGGGCATTCCTGGTCCATCTCATCATGGCCATGGTTTGGCACCTCTGATGTTTTAGTGCCATCTCAACTATTTGAATTGACATTTTCTAGGTCTCCCTTCCCATGTTCTTTCAGGATCCAAAGAGTCAAGAAGAGGGTTTTGAAGGTAATGGCTGTGCCAGGGATGGGCTTCTGCAGAGCACGCACTGTCTTCCAGGCCTGGCCCCTCTGGACAGCCTCCTGGACATGCCGAGTGATGAGGGAAGGAGAAGGAATCAGTCGCTGGGCTTTGTCCCTCAGTTGGTCAGATGCCTCCAGCACATTCCCCTGAAATGGCTCTTGCCACGAGAGGACCATTAGATAAAGGACTGATGACACTCAGGGGACATCATTTCCCAGACATCTCCAAGGGCTACCCTAGAAATCCCCATCCTGGTGGCCTCAGCTCCCCCTGTCTCTCCCAGACCTGGCTTCTTGGTTAGAAGGTAAAGCTCTCATCTTGGGGCTATGGGGTGGGGCCCCAAGAACAGACTCACCTGGGCCCTGCCCGCCACCTCCTCACTTGGGGGAGAATGAGGCACATCTTGAGGCATATTTTTAACCAAACTCTGCCTTCTCTCCACCCTACCTCCCACTTCCAAGCCATGATTTAAAAATTATGTTTAAAATGGACCAGGGAGAGGACAAGAGGGCCGGAAGATGCCTGGGCTGGAGCTTCGCAAAGGGTGAGAAGGACCCCAGAGAAAGACGGCCCCGGAGCTGGAGGCTGGGGGGGGGCAAGGAGGTGCAGGGGACGGAAGTGGGGGGAAGAGATGGAAATGGGGACATGAAGTGGGGTGAAGGAGAGAAGTGGGAGGAGGAGATGGAGTTGGGAGCGAGATGAATGGGGAGGAACGGAAGTGGGGGACGAAGTGGAGAGAGAAGTGGGAGGCCATGGAGAGTGGGTCGGGGCGGTTGGCGCAGCCGTTAGCTTCGCGGTGGCGGTGGCGCCGGGCTGGCCAGCGGGCACACCGCCGGGGCTGGGGCGCGCAGGCCGTGAGCTGGGCCTTGCGCCTGCCAGGAGCCTCCCACGAAGCCCAAGGGCGTGTCAGAGTCTCTCGGGCGGGACACGGGGTCTCATCGGCCCCAAAGCCCATTAAAACCAGGTTCGAGGCCACCAGCCTGTGAGTGAGGACCTGCCAGGACCCCGGCTGAGCACGGAGGGGAGTGGAGGAGGAGCCCCCGGTACCCACGAGACTGCGCTCAGGGCTCGCCACGTGAGTTTCTGGTTGACATTTTCACCCATGAAGGCAAAACAGGTTTGCCCTGTCTCGCCCCTGCGTCGTGGTTTTGACCTGCTTTTGCTTTGGGAACATGCATTTCCCTACCTGTCTCCCGCAGTCAGCGGGATCGAAGCCCCAGCGCGGTGTTAGGGGCGGGGTGGCGGCTGCAAGGCCACTGCCGGGGCACCCTTCCGCGATGGCAGCCTCTCTGCTGCTCGGGCTCATTTGACCCAGAAGCGTAGAAAACCTTCCAGGCACCTTTCTGTTCTCTCCTCTTGAGTTCGCAGTTCTTTTACATCTAAGTCCGTCCCAGGAGCATGAGCATTCCCACCTGGTACACTCTATTTCCACCCACTCCTTACAAATTAGGGCGTTAACTTTGGTCTTTTAAGTCTCTGGAAGGTGCCTCTCACTGTTGTTTTTTCTCCTGAAAGGCCTGTACGTCTGTGATTTGGTGACTGCTCAGAGGACCCAAGGGGGGAGTCTTGGGAAGAGCATCCTAAGGGCCACTGGGAGGCCGAGAGGGGCCCTGCCGTGGAGTCTGCCTTGTTAGCTTCCTTCTGATGCACACAGGAAGGTAAGGGGGACATTGTCAGCCTGTGGCTTCCTCTTGAGCCGCTGCTCAGAGGTGGACTTCTGAGATAAACATCCCCAGAGATAGATGCCCCTCTCCTGCCCTCCCCAGCCCTCCCTCAACACTCTCAGCCCCATCTCTATGCCCCCTGCAGTCCCTGGGGCCTCCCCAGACCTCTTTTCCCATGGAGAGGTGGCCCTACCCTTCAAGGGCAGGGAATTCCCGGTTGGGATGAATGTGGTCTTTCCTTTTTCTCTGTCTCCTAAATTCCTATTTCCAGTTTTCTTTCCCTCTGGTGTTCTCAGCTCTTCTCTCTCCCTGAAGTGACCAGATTTTCCCTTCCTCTCAGTTCAGCCTCTCACTTCTCAGAACCTTCCCCCTCGCCCTCAGCCTGCCAGCTGCCGCCACCCGTGCGGCAAGTGTGTTCTGTGCCCCGGCCACTGTCCGCGGCTTGCTCTCAGTCTTGAAGGGCTCAGAGCTTATTTTACAGGTTAAATACATTTCCACTTTACAGATGAGGAGGGATTTGTATGAATTGTTCGAGGTCACAGAGCAGCTAGAGCTGGAGTTGGAACTCTGTAGTCAGGAGATTCATCCATACCTCAGCTGTGTGTCCTGAAATCTTTTTCCTCCTCCTTGTCTTGTGGTCTTTAATTTCTTTCTTTTTCTTTCATGGGATGAATCCAGCGCTTTGGAAGACTGACTCAGGAGCTGAAGTCATAACACAAGCTAAGACCTGACTACCTACTGTCTGTGCCTCGTAGCCAAAGATGGCCAGGAACAAGATTGATTTATTGATTTGTCGCACTGAGGCAACGAAGGAAGGAGACTGCATGTGACGGGCATCTCAGTAAAAGGTGTTAGGAGGGATTTATAATCGAAAGTGGGCCTGTGTTAAGTGATTTGGGAGCAGTCCCAAGGAAGCAGGGGTTTGCTCTGGATCAGATGCTGTCAGGAAGCAGGATCAGTGCTATGAGAAGGCATCTTGTTTTCATATAGAGGGTGGGACGAGTACAGTGGAGCTGACACCGTGATTGATTAAAGAAACAGCAAGCAGTCACTCATGTTAGGGGGTTCAGGGTTCAGGGTGTTTGGTAATCCCTGTGGTTTTTACAGTGACCTTGTTTTTTTCTGTACTCAGACATGATTACAGAATGGTCTTCTTTTTGTCAGCCCCTGTCTGAAGTCGGTGATGCACGAGATTGGTCTGTTCAACAGGAGAACATTGCAGCCCAGCTGTGCACGCCAGGCCAGAGCCAGCTGTCGGGGACTCCTTTTCTCTTTCTCACTGCAAAGGCAAAGCCTTGATGCTCAAGTTCCAGCCTGCTCTCCATCCCAGTCTCATACCTTCATGTCGCGACAATGATCATCACATTTCAAGAGGACAAGGAGGAAGGGATAAGAATAAGAAAGGGGTTGGTTTGGGAGTGGGGGGTGAAATAGCATTTTAACTTAGAAGATTCAGATCTCTGTCACTGAGTGGCTCCAGGGTTCCATTCCTCTGTCTGGATAGAATGGGATTCAAAGCTATGTTAGGAAAAGGAAAAAAAAAGAATTAAGATAAAACATTTTCATGCCAATGTCTTCTACATTATTAGAGGACATTGTAGGTAGCAGGGTGGGGAAGACAATTACAGGGTGGCTTGTTCCTTAGGACAAATAATTCTCACTTAGAAATTCGGTCCATTCTTAAGAGGACATGTCTAAGGTAAAAGAGGGTAATTGTTCATCCTGAGTTTCTGGACATCCTTGACTTTAAGCAACATAATTATTCAATTTCTTTGTTATCGTTCTGCTACATACTGTATTGTTTTGTATAATTTTGTTTTAGTGACGGTAATTCATTACTGTGTGTCTCTGAGAAGCAGACGATGAAATGGGATGAGAAGTGTAAGAGCTGTTTTGGGGCAAACCTCTGCGAAGGAGCCAGGGTTTGCAGGATGGGGCAGGGCCAGCCCACGTCAGGACAGGTCCCACACCTGCTAAAGGGAGGGCGAGGAGGCCTGGGGACAAGAACCTCAGACCACAGCACAGGTCTGAGAAAATCTTGGTCAGGTCTCTGGGGAGTCCCCAAGCTAAATGTCCCCTTGAGAAGAATCGCCCATGCTGGGCAGGAAGGGGTCAGCAATAATGCCCTTACTGTGCTCAGTCACTGGCCAGATGCAGCCAGGGGAAGTCTGGTCCAGTGTCCCTAGGGGTGACAGCTGAGGCTGTCAGTCAACTCTGCTCCTTGCTGCAGGTTCTATTAAAGCCATCTCAGGGGCACCCTCCTTGGCCATATATGCTTTTTGGTCACCAGTACCACTTTTTTTTTTTAAGTCATTGAATCAGTTCAAGTCTTCCTAGAAGCAGAGGCCAAGATGGGATTAGACATACAAGAGATTTATTAAGGGAAATTCTTTAATAAAGGGGTAGAGAATAGGAAAAAACCCTACACAGATGCAATTTAAACTGTACACTGCTGGTGAATAAATAAATTCATAGAAGAGTTGGGTTTTTTTAGGGTTTTTTTTTTTTAAGCCTTTGTTGTATATCCTGAATTTTGGTCTGGGAAATATGGTTTCCTTATTCATGTTAATTGACAGAATTGGAATTTGAAGCATCAAGCAAATAAGATCTGCTTCATCTACTATATTTTGTATGGCACCTTTTTATGACAGGCTTTGAAGTTACTCTTTACCTCAAGGGTTCTCAAACTGGGGGTGCTCGTGCCCCCCAGGAGATGTTTAGCCGTGACTGCAGACACTTTTGGCTGTCACAGCTGGAGTGGGGTACTGCTGGCATCTAGTGGGTGGAAATCAGGGAAGCTGCAAAACATCCTGCAATGCACAGGACAGTCCCCACAGCAAGGGACTGTCCTGCCCAAGTGTCCGTAGTGGAGAGGTTTTGCAACTCTGCCTTGCTGATCCTGTCAGTCCTCTTGCAAGCAAGCCAGCAGCCTAGGTGATGTAAATGGGCACTGAGGAGTGTTCTAGACAGGTTTAGGGGGGAGACCTCGAAGACTGGGAGCTCCCAGGTGGAGAGTATCATGGATGAGCCAGCCCCAGACCAATAAATAGGATGTCTCCTAATGGTAGACCATTCACAGAAGTCAAGGATTCTGCAGAACACTCTCTTTCCTATTTAAATGGCAAGTTTGGGTTTAATGAATGCCCCGAATCCCCGACAGATTTCCAATAATATAACTGAAACACACATGCATGCACAAAATCCATTCTATAAGTTACAGAAACTATCATTTCAGAAAGTGAACTTGATCCCAAGAGATATGCTTTCTGTGCAGTAACATCTGATAGAGGTGTACCCACCGCCTGCCCTGCCATTGTGTCCTTTGTATTGGGAGTGTAATTTGAAAAGTTCCTAGCCTATCTTGCTTAAAATCTTCTGAGTTTTGGGGACTGTTTTAAAAAAAAGGACTGGATGAGGTTGGGGGCAGTGACGCATGCCTATAATCTTAGCACTTTGGGAGGCCAAGGCGGGAGGATCACTTGAGGCCAGGAGCTTGAGACCAGCCTGTGGAAGAACAAGACTCCATCTCTACAAAAAATAGAAAAAATTAGCTGGGCATGGTGGCACACCTATAGTCCCAGCTACTTGGGAAGCTGAGGCAGGAGGATCGCTTGGGCACAGGAGTTTGGAGTCGCAGTGAGCTATGATGACAACACCACACTCTAGCCAGGGTAATAGAGAGAGACTGTCAAGAAAATAAAAGGGAAGGGAAGGGAAGAGAAGGGAGGGGAGGGGAGGTAAGGGGAGAGGCAAGGCATTGAGAGATACATCTGTATAGGTTTCAGTATTAAAAATCCAGAGGCATTCTACATGGAAAATAATTGGAGACATTTGAAGCATATGCTTGTACCTTTTTTGGGGGGTTGTGAAATCTATTTTCTTGGCTTTTTCCCTCCCCCATTGACTGCTAACTCTTTGTATTTTGTGTCTCAGTCAATGTGATGAGCAGCCCAAGGGAATTCTGGTGCACAGTGGATGCTAGAAGGAGCTCTGCGTTGAGAGGATGGAAACCTAGACTCCATCTCTGTTCACTTTGTCTTGATAAGTGGTAATCAGAGATGCAGGTGACTTTGCCCCAACTCTAGGACACAGACATGACAGCACAGTGTTAAGTATACGTAAGCCCCCAACCACCTTCCACACACCTCCACCCAGTTCTGTGCCTGGGGGCTCTGACCAGACTGCACTGCCTGGACCTACTGCTGTCTAGGTTCCTCCAATGCAAAGCAACTGCAAGAGTGGGGAGGGTGGACAGAAGCAGGAGTTGGGAGGATGGACAGAAGCAGGAGTTGGGAGGGTGGACAGAAGCAGTTATTCCTCCCAGTACCCTCTGTGCTGAGGGCCACATGTCCTATCTGTGGCTGTGTCCCTCCACGCAGAGATCTCTCACTGTGTGACCACTCCGTGGCTCCAGTGGCACTGTTTGCTTTCACAGCCTCTCTGCCCTACTGGGTGCTTCTTACTGTGGCTAGCCTCCGAATGCCCCAATATTCTTTGTTGTTTTGCCAAATAGTGCCCATTTCTCTGTAAATACAGAAAATCCTCACTTTGTACAGTAGTGCAGAACTGTAAAATGGCTGTGCAAGCTGAAGCCATGCAAAACAATGATCAATGAGGAAAATGATTGTTCTATGAGCTTTCAAAACGTTTGTCAAAAAACCTTCTTACTGTCAGTAAGAGAGAAAGTAGTAAAAATTGATACTAAATACACTAATACAACAGAAACCATTGAGAATTGTTTTATTTGTAAAAATCTTACCAAGAGTTTGGATGATGCTTACCTCCTCCTTCGTGTAAAAAGAAAATAAAAATCTCAGAACCACCCCCCTCAACTCCTCATGCAAAAGAGAAGGTAAAGTCCTCAGGCACCTGTGAAGAACTGACCCCACCAGTCATTCATTAAGGAAATTCCTTGCTGGCCTCCCATAAGCAAGGACATGCAAATTATAAGTTTAGGTCTGCAGGTTGTGTCTAGCTCCTCAAACTAATACGAACTAGAAGGTTATCTTTACAGGTGCAGAACAGAGATGAGACAGAATCAGGCATTCTTCCACCTACCCATGGACACCTACATAATTGATGCTTCTTTCATTCCCTTTTTTCTCCTCTAACATTTCCCTTGTCTTATGTAAAATGTAGATTTTCCTGCATCTCACAAGGATGTAACTATTTTGTCTAACTCCCTCCCACTCCCCACCCTTTTTCTTTTCTGTATGCCTTTTAAATGCTGAAACTTCCAAATTTCCCTTGAAAAGCAGCCACAGGTTTGTCTCTGATTTGTGTGTTTTTCCTCAACTTTGGCTTAATAAACATCCATTGATTGAGATTTTTGCTTCAGCTAGCTATTTTGGGTTGACATTCCCATCATATATAACTTTCCATACAGACTGAACATCTTTTCTATGTCTTGGCAAATTGTCATACTACTTTCATAAGTGTGGACCAACTTTCACATATTTTTTTTTTGCTTATAGTGTCACAAAATATCACCAAGAATTCCTTTAATGTGGTTTTTTTGCCAGTGCCATTTCCTCTGGGACATCTTCATCCTTTTCATCACACCACTTTTCTCATTTATGTAGGTAAGCTCACTGTCACTAAGTTCCTCTGGCTGATATCCAAAGTCCCAAAGAGCAGCACCATCCACACTCCCACGGTTGGCTCTTTCTTCTCTAGCTCTACTGACATTCTGCATGAATCTCACTTCCAGTGTTATCACTTTTCCTTTCTTTGCTGCATTTTCATCTTTATTGATCTGTTCCCTCTTTCGGTTATTCATTTTTGTAAACCAATACATGGGTTTATCACTGGGAGACAAGGAAACAACAGAACTCCACACTTTGCTGTCTGTGGATGAACTGAATGGCAGGCACGCAGTGCCCAGTCACTGGCAGACTTTGAAACAAGTGATGTGATGGGTCGCTGATCATGCTGCACACCTCTTAGTGATATGTGGACCAAAGAGTCAGTGGTGAAATTATACTTTAGCAATTGCATAAAGCTTTATAACAATGTAACTGAAATTTCAACTGTCTTGTTAATGGATAGGTGTTATTTAATTAAACTGTGGTCATTGAAATTTAAGCATATCAAAACTGTATAAAACAAAGACTGCCTATAGCCTGTTCATTACAGTCTTTTGAACTGAATTGGAATCTGTTTGTTGCTAGGACCATGAATGATAAAGTGTGCAACTAACTCTCCAAGGGAGGGGGGAGGGGGAAGCTTCACAGAATTCAGCCATGGTCTGCCACAGATACGCTCTATGTCTTTTGACTCAGGTCCAGCAATCAATGATTCCACCGTCCAGGAATAGGCAGGGAGGAAGGCACCTAGGGTGTAACACCTTGTAGGTCCAGGCTTTTCAAGAGAGGGCTGATCCCAAAACAAAGGATGAGACAGCCATTCTTAGGAACTAGGAGTTTGTGGATAATCAACCAGAGTGTGACCCAGCTACACAATTGAAAACAATCTTTCTCTACTGAAAAACTCATGGCTGAAAGCTTTGAGGGACCAGATGAGTTATCATTCTTTCTTCCAGATCTTTTAATTCTCCTGCCTCCTAGTTTCC